TCTGATTCACATTCATTTACAATGTTGTCTGAAGACAAACTGCATCTTCATTAGACATGACAAATGGCAACCACAAAGCTTTAAAGGAATATCAGAGTTTGTTATAGAATATCAAAAGGTGACAGACACCGCAAAATGATCCGTAAGTGCATGCAGAGGCCTGTATAAAGGATTTCTTGTTAGTGCCTTTCATAGTTTCGTTCTGTGGGTGATGAAGGATAAGTGGATGTTGTTTGATGAGGTTAGTTAACAGTCTACATGCCTCTAACTATGAGTGTTCAGCCAGGTACTATGACTGGAATGCGTCGCACCCTTCAAACGAATCTGGATTTGATGGTTACATGCCTGAAGGAGAATACACCTTGACTTCTTTCTGTTCAATGACCAAAAGCACATTTTAAACCAAAATAAACAATAAAATCATATCTTAATATCAATGAGTCAGTTTATCACTTTTGTACACTGTGAAAAGTTAAATTTGCACTGTTGGTTTTAGCTTATGTTCACGCAATCAACTTTGCAACCTTTATGCTTCCTCACACGTAGCCTATGGCAGGTTGTGTATTTAAGAACATAATGTGCTTGACACATGCAGCAGCTGTATTGTCAGTAAGGGGTGTGTATATCAGTGTATGTTTGGATGAGATATGTCTTGTCATTTTAACTGCCCACCTTTCAGTCACTTGTGCCTGCTGCGGTGTTTACTTCTGTATGCACTCTGATACTGGACACTTTTAAACTGATTTATGGCATATTTTCACACTTTGGTATATCATTATTTATACAAGAAAAGTGATGCTGTTGGTAAATGGGTTTACTGCCTGCTTGGCAGTTTCAAATGTCTGCATTGATAAACTTTTTCAGAGATGTTATATATAAGTGTGCAAATCTTTCCAGTTTAGAGTGGTCTTTAATAATTGTCAACATAACTAATAATAAATAGTTAGCATGTATCTGCCATTTAGCTTTAGTTTTTGGCTTATGTCCCACAGGATGCATCAAATTGATCAAAAGTGACAGTAAAGACAGTAGTATTTCACATAAATGCTGTTTTTAAACTTTCTATTCATTAAAGATTCCTGAAAGAAGTGTGCCACAGTTTCCACAAAAATCAACAGTTTTCAACATTGATAATGATAAAAAAAAGTATCCTGAGCACCAAATCAGCATATTAGAATTGGAGAATTGGAGATTGGAGCTATGGCTATTGAAAATTAAACTTTGCCATCATGGGAATTTATGAATTAAAATATATTAAAATAGAAAACAGCTATTTTGAAGTATAATAATATTTCACAATATTACTCTACTTACTGTATTTCTGAATAAATTATCACAGCCTTGGTGAGTAAAAACTTTTTTTTTTTAATCTTACATGATAACTACAAACTAACCAGTGAACTAACTATAGCTTCTGTTGAGCGACAGCTTTGTTGGGCTAAATTCTCAACCCTGCTACCTGCTGAATTTTTCTGTTTCATTTTGTTTATTTAATATTTATTGCTAGAAATAACTATTACATAACAGTACATCAATGTTGTATGGGTTTTAAGCTTTTTAGGTAGTTTAACCTTCTGAGGGTTGAACAAAATTCCTTCTGCAAACCATTTGTGGAAATATTTTTCATTTTTGAGAGTTTCAGCCCTATTTTGTTCCTTATTTGTGAAAAATGCCAGATAAATTAAGTTTCAAAAGCATGCTCATGATAAAGGATGCTTTAGTCTTGATCTGGTATATTCTTCTCTCTGCTTCAGGAAAAAAGAAGTCATGATGTGAGTGAGCAGTGGGCTGGACATCTGAGACATTACGTCAGCATGGATTCAGACAAGAACATTCTGTTCTGAGGTCAAAACATTAGTCCGGTCTCTGAACATGCCCAAACAGAACCAGTGGCCTTATGTAATATCACGATGTAATGCTTTTGACATGGACAATGATGCAGAAGGGAATGACAGCCCAAACAAAAGCAAACTAAACCTAATTTATCGACACAACATTATATAACAGAAATACCTTTAAACATACGTGTCTCTTTGAGATTTGCTCTACCAATTACTGCTAACTGGGTCAAGCACAAGTCAAACTGGACTAGTTTTGTTCTCAATGCACTGTGTTTCTCTACACTCTACACACTGGACAACAAACCTTTATAAGGAAACATTTATCCACCATTTCTGTCTGATGTCTAGCATTCCCGTGATTCATCTATCATTTCCTCTGATCTAATCTAGCCCCTCATTTCAGTGGCGTGTGGTCCGTGTACCAGACTGGCCTAAATGGGGGATATGTAACACCCCCACAAAGCTTGTTTCCCGGCAGCAGCGTGTTTTCACATTCCAGAGTTGTGAGATCATATTCCAATTCAGCTCTCTCCTGAATGATATCTGTGTTCAGAGACCCAAACAACGCCATCCTTCATATGGTACCAATCACACTGCCCACGACAGAGCCTTTGAGCTCTGTACCGCACAACAACAACAAACAGACTCCAGCCCGTAAACACTAGCAATGTCAGTGCAGTATAATTCAAGTTAGTTAGGGGGAGCTTCGATTTCTTCTGTGAATGAACATGCCCCTTCTCAGTTTCACCAATGTTTTTGTATTCTAAAAAGACAGCAGGAGGGAGAGAGAAAGGGAAAAAAATGAGACGAAAGCCAGACATCAAAGAAAAAAGAAACCAAATGCCATTCTGAATACAAAGCGCTCATTGAGGGCATCAGCATTCTTTTAAAAGCCGAAACCCGCTCATTCTCCACATAAATTCTAGAATCAGCTGGTTCACATGATTCTAGGGCTGTTCTAGAACTTCAAGTTCTGAATAGAGAATGGTTGTAATCTGGCAGAGGGAAGCATTACATCTGCATTACATTTCCATATCTTGGAACCAACATCTTCCTTATTCCTTACTGATATGCTATAGCACACCTCTGCTGTAAATAACCTTTGGCGTGGGAGGAAGTGAATGCATAACAGAGTAGGAATTTAGAACATTTTAACAACCTTCAAAACAAATCTGCTTGCTTTTTGGGTAACACAGTAAGCATACATTTAAAGTATGTCAACTTTGTAGTTAGGATGGGGTTTGTGGGTGTGCACATGTTTTACCTTTGGTTTTCAAATGAATGTAAATGGGTTGAGAAGGAATGACATTGAATGTTTGCTTAAAACTACACACTGCAGCTTTGTTCCAAGGACAATTGGGTTCTGTCAGTGCTTCATGCACTTTTTTTCCCCAGAAAAGACTAGCAAAAGCATATTGTCTATGGTAAATTCAGAGATTAAAAATACAATGAGCACAGTTTTGGTAAATTACATTTTATATATTGTTTGAAAATCCCTGCATAATGGTCATCAAGGGAAATTTGGATATTCTCATGTGTGGCTGGATGAACAAGAGATATCTGCATGGGTGGCAATAGATGTGTACTTTAACCTTTCCCAGACCAGGAAAGGGAAAGCAAATACGGAACCATGGAATTCACATGATCTTGAACTCTTGGGGAATTCTTCTCACAACCCAAGAATGGTTTATTTTAATCATTGACAAGATGCAATTAATTAAGGTAGATTTTAACTTTCTAGTCCTGTAATGAGTACCTGTCTCATTTAAAGAATTACAGTTTGACACTGTGTTGTTGTTTTGTATTAAATTCAACTTTCCTGTAAAATGAGTGGTGGTTCTCTGTCTCAAGGTTTTTCCCCATGAACTTTTGCAAATTTTTTTTAAAACCGTTGAATTGGTTTGGGCTTGGCATTTCCCCCCTTAAACCCACAAAGGTAAGTCCCCAGGCATTTGAAGACCAATGGCCAACAGCCAATTTTCACATTCATTCTACTTAAAATATTGGTCTTCAAAATGCCTCATGCCTTTAATAATTGACTGGCAGCAAATCCTTGTGTATTAAATAACAATCAAAGCTACTTGGCTAATCTGAAGTATGTCTCACATTTACTCTGTAGGGATTGATAAGTGAGTGGCCATCTTCACAAGAATCAGTCTCTTTCAGTGTAACTAGCCTGGGAAAAATGGTCTGAATGCATTTTTGGACGTCGCGAGTCTTTCATGACAACATGCAAAACAATGACCATGGAATGTTGTTTTGGAATGTTGCTTTCATTTCTGATTGATACAGTTCATATCTGAAATATGTAAAGAACTTTTTTAGGGTTTCATTGAGTTTTTTGTTGTTGTTGTTAGGCTAAATGCTATGTACAAATGGCATTGCCAATCATTAAAAAGATCAAATTAATGATCTTTTCTAAAAAATATATATGAGTTATTCCATGACAGGAGTTTATAACATTTGATGAAGTGCAGTAAACAGTTTTCAGAAGAGCCAAGTTCAAAAGTTGCCACGTTCTACTCTCATTTAACAGTCATAATTTGTTTTTTTATGCTCCACAAGATTCATCAAGCATAACATAAACAGTTAAAATAGTGTTTATTTATTTTTCTACTATTTATAGAAACATCATATTGCTGACACTTGGATGCTAATGATCTATGATGACAACTTTAATAACGAGGAGAACAGCAGCCACATTCTGTCACAAGTTACTTAAGAATAAACCAAAAGATTATTTTTAAATCAATTTTAGTTTATATGTTTCAGTTTATGTCCACTATTAAATCATTTCATTTAGTAAATGCTGTTTTTTGTTTGTGGAGATTTTATAAACATTTTTTTTTATAAAAGACTGGAAAAGTAATGGGAAAATTTTCCAGACCAAATCATTTTGTGACAATGAGAAAACCTGTTTCTTAGAACGACTCATATAATTTCCTGCTGTCATTTTAATTGGCTACGTTACAGCTGGTGTTATGCGAGAGTTCAGAAGATGAACTTAAATAACCATTTCCGGACACGAGGGTACTTCAGTGCAGTCGTCCTCACTGTACCTCTGCCTCCTCCTGGCGGCTGCGGATGAATCTCCTCGTTCTATTAGTTTGGTCTGGAGCAAGATCTCTACATCGATTACTCTCTTAATACCACATTAGGCTAGTGAGTCTGACATTTATTCCTCTGTCAAGCTGGTATGATCTGATAAAATTTTGAAAACCTTCAGATGCGCTCCTGATGATGCAGTAATATTTTGCTTTACGCAACAGATTTGAGTCCTATCCTGAAATCTGGTCACCTGCTCTATTTTAACTTTTCATGTCATTCATTTAAATTACAAATACCCATCTTATCGTCTTTACATATCTGTGAAATAGATTTAGGTGTCAGGATGAGTTTAGCTTTCAGCAGGGCTCCTCGAAAGACTGCGGGAAACCGCATGTCCAGACTGCTGGATGCAGAGGAGGAGGATGAGTTCTACAAGACCACCTATGGAGGATTTCACGACGTGAGTGATGAAATATCACCTGTGCAGCTTGCCATGGGCTTGTGTTGACACATTTCCGCAGCTGTAATGCATTTATACTTCGGCATGAACGTTTGGACTTGAACCTGTAAGAAAGAATATGCCCCGTCACTCTGATTTGATTGTCTTGAGACTGTCAGGAGATCTCTATCACATGACTTTATGGAGTCATTGTGCTTTTATTTAGTTAAAAAATAATAATCATAAAAAAATGAATTTATACACAGTATATAATATTTATATGTGTTTTTGTATGTAATTTTACATTATGATTATTTCACATTTAGTTATTCTGTATGTTTGGTTATGTGCTACACTTTCCATTTATTTTAATTCAGTTAAACTCTAAACTAAAATGTATTGTATAGAGATTTTCACATTTCATGTTTTAAAGCAGCTTCAAAAATCTATTATTCTAATAAATTATATATGGTATATATTGTATAAATTATATATTCTAACTGAATGTACATTACAATATAAATATATAAATATAGTCACATTTTCTATACACGTAAAGCTGCAATTCCTTATGTATTATTTAATATGTTGTAATATATTAACATAATGTATTGTTCTGTATATTTTTGTTAATTAATAATTAATTTAATTTAATATATTCAATACATAATTATTATATACATTAGTACATAAGGAAAATGTATGTACATTTATTTTTGTGTAAGGTTAAGTATATATATCTCTATAAAGAACACAATAATAGGGCAGACATGTATTTCAACAAATTTATACAAAGCATAAATAGATTTATACAAAAGGGTGATCAGATGTTTATTATATTAACAGTTAATTTAATACATGCATTATTCTAATAAATCAGATATTATATATATGACCCTGGACCACAAAACTGGTCATGAGGGTCAATTTTTTGAAATTGAGATTTATACGAATAAATAAGCTTTCCATTGATATATGGTTTGTTAGGATAGGACAATATTTGAGATGGTCCTCACTGCAGAACACAAGATCCAGGGGCCGTGGTTGGATCCAGATCCAACTCCTCCCACCTTACATATACCTAAACCTACCAATCTCCACCCCCTAGATGTGGATCCAACCACGCCCCCTGGATCTTGTGTTCTGCATTGAGGGGCTACTGCAATATTTGGCCGAGATACAACTATTTAAAAAATCTGGAATCTGAGGGTGCAAAAAAAAGAAAGAAGACAAAAACGCCTTTAAAGTTGTCCAAAATGAAGTTCTTAGCAATGCATATTACTAATCAAAAATTAAGTTTTGATATATTTACGGTAGGAAATTTACAAAATATCTTCATGGAACTTGGTCTTTTCTTAATATCCTAATGATTTTTGGCATAAAAGAAAAATCGATAAATTTGGCCCTATACAGTGTATTTTTGGCTATTGCTACAAATATACCAGTGCAACTTTTGACTGGTTTTGTGGTCCAGGGTCACATATTGTATACACTATTTAATCTAATTGAATGTAATCCATGCGTTATGCGAATAATATGCACCTGTCTAGTGTCTCCTCTGTGTCTTTGAGTCCTGAAAACGTGATTTTTGCAGGAATCAGGTGATGAAGAATATAAGGGTGACTTGTCTGAAACGGAAGATGAGGTGGACAGTGACTTTGACATTGATGAAGGGGATGAACCCGACAGCGAGCAGGAGGAGGATGGGCCGCGTCGAAAGAGCAGAGTGGTGACCAAAGCCTACAAGGTACGGGAGAGTTGCTAAGAAAAAGAACCATAAAACCATGATAAAAAGCTACCATAAATAGCTTCAGATGACTGGTAATATAGTGCATGAGTCGTATGGACTAGTTTTATGATTCATTTATGGTGCTTTTGCGCCCTTTTTGAAGTTTCAGTCCTTATTCTTTGGAATTGTATATAAAATAGTGACTAGTACATTCTGTACAGAAAGTAAATAATGACAGAATTTTCATATTTACTCCACTTGTAATCCCAGAACCTTGTGTTTGTGTAGGAGCCAGTTAAAGTGGTGCGGCAAAAACCAAAACAACGGAAACTGGCTGAACTGCCCAGGAGGACAGACAAGACAAAGATCAACAAATACAACCCCCCTGAACTACAGGAGGACATCAGCAAGAGTGAGACTTTTGCACTTTATTTACACATGCACATGTGACATATTAGGAAACTAGTGCTTATACCACAATATATGCATGGACCGTGTATTGCTATATATTGATACATATAAAAAATATACTGCACTACATTTTTATTACATGTAATATCGTAATTGAAACACTCAATTAATTCATTTCTCTTTCATGAGTTAACACATAGGTGCACATAAAGCTGAATTTATTCATGAGCTTTTGTCTCACTTTATTGTTTGCATAGTTACACATGTCATAAATGAAAATATATGTAATGGTAGCTATATCAGAAATAAAGTTTTTACTGATAAGAAATATAATGTTTTTTTTTTAGATTTTTGGACGGTTGGATTTCTTGTTAAAATCATGGCAACATGGTGGGTGGAAGATGATTTGACATGTTTAACTTGATGGATTGAGTGCTATATAGTAATATTGTATTAACGCAATATATTATTCTGTATATTTTCATATTTTCAAATAATGTTATGAATGTGTGGAAATATATCAGTTATTCTCATTTATCAATTTTTATAGTTTTATGGGATTTTTAGTTGCTTAAAATCTGACTATTTTTCCTTATTATTTTTATGCAATGACACACAAACAGTATTATTTTCTTTCTTTTTTCTTTTTTTTGTACCCTTCCTCTTTCCAAGGAATTGACTGCCATAAAAATAGTTTCTATGAAAAAAGCAAACAGTATGTATCAACAACATTATCCAACAGGAAGTGAGTAGATGTTAATGATAACAGAGATTTACAGAACTAATATCAATTTCTATGAACCTCTGATTACACATTTACAGTATACTCATAAACCACTTTCTTTCTGCATAAACCACATCAGGTTCTGAAGTCATTGTTTCTTCTTCACGTGAATTAGATGATTTCCAGTGCAATAAAATGTGTTTGTTGGGGAAGCTGTCAATAAGTCAAGTTTACATCTCTTCCTTGAATGGCAACAATTTAAGCACGTATCATAAACTGTGGAGAGAGTTATAGTAAATGTTAGTAAACCTTGAAATTGTTTTTGTCTTAGACAGGACGTCGGTGCGTCAGTCAACAACAGAACACACACGGCTGACGTACCTGAGACTGCAGGAGAGGCAGGTTGCTCCGCGTCGAAGAAAGGGTACAAGACATGAGCGACCTTTGACCCAGGCTGAACTTTTAGCAGAGGCCAAGGTCACAGCACAGATTAACCTTCGATCACTGGGTGAGGAATTGATAACTGATATCTGCAAATTGTTCTGTCTATAAAACTTGAATGCTAATAGCTGTTTGTGATTTTTTTGACAGAAAACTATGAGCGTTTGGAGGCAGATAAGAAACGTCAGGTTCATATGAAGCGTCAGTGTGTGGGATCTGTTATCCGATATCACTCTGTGCTCATGCCACTGGTGTCTGACGTCACTCTTAAAGAGGAAAACGTGGATGTAGAGGGGTACTTCACCTGGTTCCTCATCTCTTACTGACTGTTTACTTTTTACTTCTCTTGCTTTTTAGACTTTAGACTTATATTGTCTTTGAGTGGGTGCTTTTATCTATCTAACCTTTATATTGCTTGGCACTTAAAAATACAGTATGTAGATAAAGTCTCTGAAGTGTTCTCATGTTTACAAATACTCCTCCATTCATTAATTTTAACTAAATTGTTTTTTTTCTATTTAGAGGTGAACTGAAAAATTTTGTTTTGAGTAATCTTATGCGTACAGACATCATTTACATTTTTTTTAAACAACTTTTTAAAATTTAAATAAACATGTTAAGCATGCTTTAAGTATTATATAAATAGAATAAAAAATTAAAAACGAATTTCAAAAGAAAAAATATGTAAAAAAAAAATCAATTTATACAAATGAAAAATTGTGATAATTCTTAATAAATTAATACATATTAATATAAATAAATAAATTAAACTCCGATTTATTAATTAAGCTAAATGTTAATTGTTAATTGTAAATGTTAAAGTTTGAAGAGTTAAAGATTTTCATCTTTGTTATGGTTGTGGAAAAAACTATTTCATATATATGTAATATATATATATTACACATAATTTGTCTATTCACATCATTTCAAAATTGTGTAAAACTTTAATGAGAAAAACATGATTCCACCTCTATATTTTTATCTTTATATATATTTTATCTTCACATCTCATTAACAGTTTGGACCAAGACGCCCAGCAGAATCCAGGCCCTCACCCTCCACAAGCTCTTTCCCAGTCAGAATCAACCCTTACTGCGCCGCCTAGTGTCGTCTCCGCTAACACAGCTGCTGTAAACCCTTCCCTGTCATCAGGGCCTGCCAAATGCTCCCGCAGCTACATCACATTCAGTGATGATGAATCTTTCCAGCGTTTCTTTCCCCAGTCCCCACCTCCTCGAATTCCTGTCCAGGAGATCTGCCCTGTTACCCATAAGCCAGCGCTCTACCGAGACCCCATCACAGACATTCCCTACGCTAATGTACAAGCCTTTAGGATCATCCGGGAAGCCTATAAAAAGTATGTGGCGGCCCACGGCCTGCCCTCCACTGGCACAGCGACTCCAGCCGACACCACTGCAAAGAATCTGCGCCAGAAGATCATTATTAAACAAGGCATGTAGAACAATACACATCTATCTATCTATCTATCTATCTAAAAATAATAAATGTTCTTTGGTGACATACAGTACAACTGCATAAAAATGTTTGCTGCCAAATCTCTGTCCAGTGTATTTGTAAGTGCAATAAGCTGCATAGTTGAATGTGATTTTTGCATAAATGCTTAATGTAACTTTATTTATTGTTTTTTTTTAATGCACTGTTTCATTTAATTGACTATGTAGTGATATGTATTTATAATGTGTCCGTATTATTTAAAACAGCATTAAAGATTGCTGTCATGTAGCCTTTTAGATGTCATTATTTTTTATAATAATAAAAAAAAAAAAAAGTGGGCCATCTATAAAATTTGTTTGTGTTGGAAAGAAGAACCCACTTAGTACTCAATGCAGCCAATGTATAAACTTCGACATTAAATTCAGGGGTCTCTCTGACTTGCAATACCGCCTCTATACCCTAGAGGTCACTCCTCTCTACTAAAATGTTACGTGTTTAATGAGTAAACCTGAGTTACTCAAACAGATGACTACATGGACCTTCTCTGCAGCCAGTGTCAGCCTACTCTCTCTGTCCCTCTCTTTCACAGTCATTAATCTCTCTCAAAGCCAAAATAATGAAATGCTGAACTCATGAAGAGTAGCTCGTATCCCTGTCTCAGCTCAACCCAGATAGCAAGCGAAGACGGGAGGGCTTAAGGGGGAAACGACTACCGGGGAGGGGGGCGAGCGAGGGGCTATTCTCTGTTTTCAAACATAGAGTTGCTGTACAGAAGATCCCAACAGCTCTGAGTCCTAGTGAGGGTAGGTAACACATTCACTTTCTTTCTGCAATCTATGTCTGTGTCTCTTTTAGCACCAGGACCACATTAGTATACGTTTTTGGACACTATATAGTTATGATTAGTAAGCAGGATTTGCTTTTTTACTGACTATTTCATTTATTTGAAATTTAAAATGGTTGCATTCAGCTGCTAATTGCATGAATTATAGTTTTGGTGATTTTGTCAGTCAGTGTAGTTTATGGATAGAGGCCCCAGTGGGTGGTTTGTAGTGTAAAGTGTATAGTAAAAGGTTAAAGGTCAAGTTAGTAGATAGTTGGAGACTCAAGATATTGTTGGATTAGTTGGATACATTTTTTTGGTTTAGAGTAAGGCTTTATGGAGAACATTGTTTTGCAGAGTCTGTCTGCAGATGCACCTGTTGATGTGAGTGCATGTCAAAACAACAATCTTGTGACAGTTTTTTAAAAATACCTGCCGATTGTCATCCTTTTTTTTTTTTTTGGTGGCATAATGTTCGTAGACATATTTTTGTTTTCAAAACAGCCCTTATTTTCCCAGCCAGCCTTGCTTGCAATAGTGCTGCACACTGCAGCTTTGCAAGCAGAGAGGATTCACGCAGCTGGAAGTAGCTGACTTGTGAAGCTAAAATTAATCTGAGGGTTGATTTGGAATTTTACACTTGGGTGGTTAGACTTGGTGAAGTCAACCTACAAATAGTGTGAAGTCTTATGAGCTCTGTGTCAGCTGGAAAATGCTCCCAATGATCAAACTCCATAACTGAACTATGGATCTGAATAAGAAGGTTGTTTTTAGGCTCTTGCTGCACATCAGGAGAGTTCTGGACACTTGGCAAAGTCACTTTTGGTGTTTCATGGTGGATGATATGGTATCTGATGTGTTGTTGCCCAATATTTGTTCTACGTCCTTCTGAAGTACCAGAGGGGGAATTGGGTTTCTGAGACCCAACCAAAGTTTTTGTCATATGGACGATAATAACTTTATGGCCTCTAGAAGGAAAGCAGTCAGCAGAGTCAGGTTGCTTTTGGAGATGTTTAATCAGTTTGCAGTTTGAAATTGCCATGTTTTACAAGAAAAACGCAGATGGCTAAAAATAAAGGTTCCAAATGTTGTATTTTATCGCAGACATGCCATAGAAGAACCATGTTGGGTGTACCTTTTAATGAACAATTATTTTGCTTAGGGTAAAGAAGGAATCTTTCCACTGTGAAAAATCTTTATGGACAGTTTCCATGGATGTTAAAGTTTCTTCATGGAATCATAGACTCCATTACACTCTTAAAAATAAAGGTTCTTTATTGGCATCTTTGGTTCCATGAGGAACCTTTAACGTCCATGGAACCTTTCCATTTGACAAAAGGTTCTTTATAGTGGAGTAAGGTTCTTTGGATGTTCTTCACACTAAGAAAATATGGTTCCTCTTTTAAATACGGTTTACTGATGAAGGTTCTTCTTTGGAACCTTTATTTTTAAGAGTGTGGAATTTCTGCCTAGTTCTGTCAGTATTGTTTATCTTTTTTTTCCACAAGTTTAATTACTTAAACAATTCAATACACATGGCGTATTAGATTTAGTTTGTTTGATTTGCAGTTTAATCATTATAATATTTTAAGTCAGAACACCGTATTATGACATTTTAAAAATTATTCTGATTAAAATGATCAAATAAATATAAAATGATTAAAATGATCTGTTCAGTATACACAAATCAATTCAATTGAACTCCAATCACAGGATATTGAAATTCTTATTTAAAAGATCAAAATCTAATTATAATTTGTATGTTGTGTTGGATTTTTGTAAATTACTGTACTGACTAAAAATAAATTGAGTTAAAGAAGTATTTTCTCAATTTGGAAAGGTCAAGTGTTGGCTGCTGCCTTGCAACAGCAAAATAACAAGGATTCCATGTTGAAGGACTAATTTAAAAAACTCTTTTCACAACTAGTGAGCCTGAACAGGTGAAACTCAGCTAATACTTTTAAGGCTTGAGTTGGTGTCCTTTAGGAGCTGTGAGAACAGGTGTTAGGAACAGGCAGACAGCCGCTCTTTCCTGGGATATGTGCACAACACAAAAAGATGACACCTGGTCGGCAGAAGGCCTGCTTTTGGCCTGTATGTTTATTGTAAGATTGAAGAGACAAAGTAGATAATGGCTATTTATAATCCCTGAGCCGTCAATCTTGTAGACTGACAGGTTCCTGAAAGAATGGTGTCAGATGCATTGCCAATTTCTGAAAGTAAGGTTATTTAGGAGTTCACATAAAATAGTGTAATCTGAATTTGTTCAGAACTGAGATTACACAGTTGAATTTACGTTTAGTTAGATATATAACAATAGTTTTCTTTTAGCCATATCAAGCAAACATTTTTAATTCAAAGCAATTTAGCCTGTCTCCACTTCATTCAGTCCTCTTTTTTTGCATTTCTAGCTTTACCGTTAGTCAAGCGAAAGGCAACTGAAGTAACTAAATCTGAATAAACAACACAATTTTCTGCAAATGATTCATAATTATTCTTGAAATGAGGTCAGGACTGAGTTTAGCAATGGTAATGCTGCTTCTGGAATCAGTAAACTTGTGGTGGGTTGATTGATGTGTGCAATCTTTAGTTTTTATTTTCTGTTCTTAGCTCTGTGATCCTGTGTTTGTGTCACTGGCTTTACAAATTAGTGCCACACTACTCTGGTCTAACACCTCAACCACAAATACACACCCAAAATAAACACACATAATGTAAAACCATCCATCGCTAACTCTAATAATCAGCATTATTTAATACAATTTTATTTTATTTTATATATTTTAATGTTATATTTTGCAAGCATCAGGAGTGTATGAAGAGTGCAGAGCATAACAGACCCTTGTGATTCATTGTGTGATATGTAGCAGTAATGTTCATTAGCATATATTTATGGACCATTACCTCACTGGTCTCCAAATGGGTTTACCACATGATTGTAAACATTGATCGCCCAACTTACAGACGTACAGTTTGACTAAAAATTGAAAAGTAATTTGATTAGAAATATTTACACATCAAAAGCATCTGAAAGATTACAATCAAACATTTTTGGAGAGCTTCAGCTTTGTGTTATGCAAAGCCATCTCAGTTTGATTACAAGCAGATGTGGTAGATGCAATTCAAACTCTTTAGCATTATATATGTGCAAACATACAAAAATCAGTATCAGTAGTCTTTTTATTTCTCTGTAAAAATATCTAAGATCAGTTTACACAAGATAATATTTGTTAATATGTTCCAACATGTAGTTACAGACGGATGAGTTCAGGTCAGTTACACAACATGTTAGGCTGTATTGTCTGTAGTTTGTGTTGTAGATCCAGTTTGGGTGTGGTGGTCTGAAACTGGTGACTAGCCCATGAATCTATCAGTCTGTTTCACAAGGCGGACGGGTGGCAGCATGGGCCACATTCACATGAGTGTGAGCCAGTGATAACTCCTCACACTTCTAACCTTCTCCTCCTTACTGTAACCCAAAACCCAAGTGTTACTGATCAGAGACTAAAAATAGACAAGATTCTCTCTGTCTCTCTGCCTTGGAATGAAAGAAGCAGTGAGTACTTTCCTCATGGTCCCATATAATCGGCCAGTCTACTGTAATTACATCGTGTTGTCAGAAAGTCCTATCTCTGTTCCCAAGTACATTGTACTTTCAGACCCCCAAAAGCTCTTCCTGTACACAAATGCTAGCCTTGTCCTTTTAATTCAACTGGGCTTTGTGGCATTTAACAATGCAAGCAGGTTTCTATCGTGCCCTTTCAGTGGCTGGCTCTTTTGGCCAGGTTGAAAGTGACTTGGATTGGAAAGCTTGAACGGTTTTCCCATTCATTCTCAACTTCTACAGAAAGCACTGAGCGACCGAATAAAGCAAGCAGCCATTATTTTGCCTTATTTGCAAGCCAAATATAGTAAAACAAGATTTTTTGTACAAGTTACTGGCTTAAACCTGATCTCTCTCTCAGGGCCCACTGTCTTTGGGCGAGCTGTGTGAACTGAGAGTACCACCGAGCAGCAAGCATGTCTAAGAGCGATCCCCGAGACATTGACGAGGATGCCATCCTCAGGGGCCTCAGCGCCGAAGAGCTGGACAAGCTGGAGTATGAACTACAGGAGATGGACCCTGAGGTACTATGCCGTACAACTGTTTGAAACTAAAGCATGGATAGGTAACACTTGAGTAGACTTTGAAATGTTTTGCCACATGCACTTATTTTTGAGGAGACACCAGTGGTAGGCAATTTAAGGCTGGAATACACTACACAACTTTTTTTGACCTTAGTTGCTTAAAGGGATAGTTCACCCAAAAATGAAAATTACCCCATGATTTACTCACCTTCAAGCCATCCTAGATCTTTGAAGCTTTGTAATGGCACTGAATGATGGTCGAGATTTAGAAACCCAAAAAAGTGAATCCATCCATCATAAAAAGTAATCCACATGGCTTCGGGGGGTTAATAAAGCCTTCTAAAGTGAAGCGATGCATTTGTGTAAGGCAAGGCAAGGCAAGTTTATTTATATAGCACATTTCCTACACAATGGTAATTCAAAGTGCTTTACATAAAAGAAAGTAAAATAATCATAAAAAAAATAATAATCACAAAAATAAAACAAGGAATTTAAAAACTACAGTGGTCTGTTAGGTTTATATTCAGTGAGCATATCTGCAATGTATTTAGGTCCTAGGCCATTGAGTGATTTATAAACGAGTAAAAGTACTTTAAAATCAATCCTAAATGTAACTGGAAGCCAGTGTAAGGACCTGAGGACTGGTGTGATATGCTCAGATTTTCTGGTTCTAGTCAGAATCCTGGCAGCAGCGTTCTGGATAATAGTATGCTGATTTAGTTACTGCTTTGACATGACTACTGAAACTAAGGTCTGTCTCCAGAATCACACCAAGATTCTTGACTTGATTTTTAGTTGTTTGACCCCTAGAGTCAAGGTATGCATTCACCTTGAGAACTTCATCTTTGTTTCCAAATGCAATGACTTCAGTTTTCTCCTTCTTCAACTGAAGAAAATTTTGGCACATCCAACTGTTAATTTCGTCAGTGCATTGGCAGAGGGAGTCAATGGGGCTGTAGTCATTTGGCGATAAGGCTAGGTAAATCTGGGTATCATCAGCATAGCTGTGATAGGCAATTTGGTTCTTTCTCATTATTTGACTTAGTGGGAGCATATACAGGCTAAACAAGCCTAAACAAGTGTAAGATAAATATCCATATTTAAAACTTTATAAACCATAATTGTTAGCTTCCGCTAATAATAATTATAATAATAATTCATTACATTTATATAGCGCTTTTCTAGGCACTCAAAGCGCTTTACATTGTCAGGGGGGTATCTCCTCATCCACCACCAGTGTGTGCAGCATCCACCTGTATGATGCGACGGCAGCCATAGTGCGCCAGAACGCCCACCACACACCAGCTTATTGGTGGAGAGGAGACAGAGTGATGAAGCCAATCAGTAGATATGGGGATTGTTAGGAGGCCATGATGATCAGAGGCCAATGGGCAAATTTGGCCAGGATGCCTCCAGCATCCCCTCTCTGGGATTTTTAATGACCACAGAGAGTCAGGACCTCGGTTTAACGTCTCATCCGAAGGACGGTGCTTGTTGACAGTATAGTGTCCCCATCACTATACTGGGGCGTTAGGACCCACACAGACCACAGGGTGAGCACCCCCTGCTGGCCTCACTAACACCTCTTCCAGCAGCAACCTAGTTTTCCCAGGAGGTCTCCTATCCAGGTACTGACCAGGCTCAGCCCTGCTTAGCTTCAGTAGGTAACCAGTCTTGGGCTACAGGGTGATATGGCTGCCGGCAAAATTGATATAACTGACTGTCGTACGTGTGTTCATTAGAGAGTGGCGTTCCAGCAGATGATGTAGGCGTAGCGTAATCGCCGGTGAGAATATGCTAGTCTCACGATAAGTTTTGTTTACAAGGAAAACTAGCCTGGTTTTGGCTTATATTGAAATTGTCCGACATTTTCCTTTACAAATCCTTGTTTTGTTCATGACCAGTGTTTTATTTGGTTCTCTTCTCTTACGCTACGCCTACGTCCTACATCATCCACTGGAACGCCACTCTCTTGTGAACGCACATATGAAGTACTTTTTAAGATAGATGGATGCACTTTTTTGGGCTTCAAAATCTTAACCACCATTCACTGACATTATAAAGAGCCAGGACATTTTTGAATAAAACTCCGATTGTATTCATCTGAAAGAAGAAAGTCTTTTACACCTAGAATGGCTTGAGGGTGAGTAAATCATGGGGTGATTTTTTATTTTTGGGTGGACTTGGTCTGTCTGCAGATCTGAGTTCACACAATTTCATAGAAAATCACGTAGTGTATGATGGTCACAGACTAAAACTTTCCAGCTTCAGATTATGATTCCATCCAGTTGTTTTGAGACAGTTGATATATTGTTTTCATTTGTCATGCATCTCCAAGAAACGAGGCACATGCTTATGTGTGAGTTTCTAGTGTTCGGAACAGCTTCAAAGTATGATAGTGTGTGATCGTCAGTCGTTTGGGGTATATTGCTAGTTTTTATCTGTAGCCATTTACAAAGTCGGCAAGTGTATGATGCAAAACACACAAACAAAAAATAATGGGATAATGTACAGTCAGCCGATCATTATCGCAAAATAAAAGGCCCTCTGAAGCCATTTTCACTAAAATCGAGACACAAGATGGCATCAGTGTATGAATGAGTCCAGGATGTGACGCGAGAGACATGAAAGTAGTGGTATTTATATCAGTGATCTGATATAAACCATAGCCATTGGCGACAGCAAATATTTGAAAATATATGACAGATGAATGCTCTGATTGACCAAGTTTTCCAGAGAGCTGTGTTATAAATAAGCATAATTGCTGCTGTACGTGGCTCAGAATGCATTTTGTTTTCACAGAAAAAGCAGTTTTGACATTGTAACTCTTGTTTCCCATTGGTAAAAAAACAGATTTTTTTGTTTAAAACATGATTTTGTAAGGATGACCCGATCAAATGTGTGTGTGTGTGTGTGTGTGTGTGTGTGAATGGGAGATTTCTGATTGCAGAAATAATTTGAAGCATAATGATTTTCTTGACCTTTCAGAATGCCATGCTTCCAGCCGGGTTCCGTCAGCGTGACCAGACCAAGAAAAGTCCCACAGGCCACTTTGATCGCTTCGCCCTGATGGATTTTCTGGAGAAGCAGGCCATGGAACACAAGGACAGAGAAGACCTGGTGCCCTTTACACGGGAGAAGAGAGGTACCACCAACACTGCATTCTTTTTAACGCTTCTAATATCTAAAATCTGAAAAGCCTTTGTAAATAAATGTGTTTTGAAATATTCAACTAAAGGCAGATTTGCCACTTATAAGTCATTATTCTGAACTTTTAAAGAATTTAAAATTATTAATTAATTATTACATTATATATAATTTTCTAATTCGAATTGTATAATTTGTTCATTTGTTTCTTTCTTGTCTTTGTATAATAGCTGTGAGTAAAGTGAACATTTCTCTTTCCCTCCACTGTCTGTAGGAAAGTCCTTTGTCCCTAAACCAGGATCAGGACAAATCTCTGCGGAGGAACAGATCACTCTGGAACCTGAGCTGGAGGAAGCACTGAAGAACGCAACAGATGCTGAAATGTGTGACATTGCAGGTGGGCATCACATTTCTACTCTGTTCCTGTTGTTTCTTTTCGTTGAGAGTGCTCTAGAGATATGCATTACAACTCTTTTACAACTAATCCTCACTTTAAACCTGTAATGTCCTGTAAACGGCTCTGACTGTAATCCAGATTTTGATCCTTGACTAAGGACTAATCCTCTGTTTGCTATTGTAAACAGCTGATCACAATACCTCGTACATAGCATTTGTCAATCAAACCCTTTCTAATTTCATCTGCTTTATTTGCGTTGTACAATCAGTGTCTCATATGACAACTTTTTAAATATATATAAAAGAAGCAGCCTAGCTAACCTATATGTGGAACTATGAACGGTGTAGGTCATGCACAGAATTATACCACACAGTATCTATTTCCCTAAGCTCAGCAGCTCACCAAAATAAAATGAGCTACAGCCAACTAGTCAACATGAGCAGAGATGGAGTGAAAATGTTTGTGCTTGTGTGTTAGGTTGGCTGCAAGTCGTCTGTGTGCTAGAAACACTCTATGATTGTGTGTTGGCAGCATTTAGCCAAACATAAAAATAACTTACTGCTTCAATTAAAAATGCAACATGAGACACAAAGAATTCACATTATTCTTGATTTAGCACACTAAAGTGATGGAAACCGGTCAATAGGCTAATTGTCCTTGAGCACTTAATAGCAAGCCTTTGCCCTTAAGGACATTTAAAGCTGTAGAGTTTTGGAGTGTGTCACTGGCTGCAGATTTCCCAGCAGAGCCCCTCATTCAGAACACAGTTTTAACTCTGGAACACGTCCAGTTCTGGATTAAACTGTCAATAGGGGTTTGCCGTTGGTGATTCAATGGACGAGTCTGCTTTTGCTGAGATGCAGGGTAGCTAAATGGATTTCTAAATAGTGCTGGTGGTTTTAATCTGGTTATTGTGTCTGAATATGGAATTCACACTGTAGTACAAAGGTCAGATCTGGTCAATTCCAATCCAAAATGTATCTTTTGTTGCCCTACTGTATTTTTTCACCAGTCCAGTCACTGTTAATTGAAACTTGGAGGGGGAGTTTATAGTGGATTTACTAGTTAGTCAGCGCCACCTGCTGTTCAAATGCAAATTTACAGTTTAACTGACACAAATCTAGTCAGTTCTCTGCAGTGCAGCTTAAGTGATTTGTGCAAGTATTTCTCACTAATTAAACAATGATTAATTAAAAACATTATATTTACATACATAACATTAGTTTGTTTATTATTTTATCATTTTTAATAATATTAATTAAATCATTAAAAATTTATTATTATATCATTTTAAATTATTAATTCATAATTTATTTAAATAATTAATAATGTAATTGTATATATTACATGTATAAGTAGAAACTTATCAGTATTAAAAATTTATTAACTATTAATTAATTATTAATTTATTAATGATACATTTGTCAACGTTATAATCATTATTATATTTTTATATTGAACTATTAGTAATATTATTAATATAAATTATAAAATAATATTTAGTTTCTCTTTTAGATATTTAAATACCTATACATTTATTTACATTAATAATTATTACTTTTATTTGTTAAATTAAAATGCATTAATATTAATTATTTTATGACCATTTCATATTTATTATTATTGTTATTATTATTTTAATATTTATTATTGTTGTTGTTGTTGTTATTATTTTAATATTTATTATTATTATTGTTGTTGTTGTTATTATTTTAATATTTATTCATTAATTAAATAAATGTTTTTTATATTTGTATAGTTATTAATATGTTTTTATTAATACACTGGCATCGCATAAGATTAGTCCAAAAGTAATAATTGTTTATGTCATTAACTAATGAGGTTCTTGTATCCTCACAGCCATCCTGGGAATGTACACACTCATGAGCAACAAGCAGTATTATGATGCCCTGAACACCACTGGCAAGATTGCCAACACAGAAGGCATCAACAGTATGTATACATACAGCGCATTTTACACTGAACCACTTCATTTCAAACTAAAGTTTTATATAATGAGATTTTTCCATTTTTGTTGAATTTACTGAATGTCGCTTCAGCATATACAATAGTTCTATATCATAAGCTGCTCTATACTCTTTTAGGTGTGGTGAAACCAGATGTGTATAAGATCTATCCCGACGAGCCTCCTAATGACACAGATTTGGAGGACACTCTCCGCTGCATCCAGAAAAATGACAATAGGCAGACAGAGGTCAACCTCAACAACATCCCGGTACACATGACAACTGTACACACACCTCAATCAGCGTAATTATGATCACATTACAGACTAGACATAATATTAATATTATAAACAGATTACCTAATTACACTTTCTAGTATTTGTTTTCTTGCAGGCATCTGATTAATTATCATAATTAATCATAAGAATTGATGAATTTCTGTGCATGAGCAGAATGGGGTCGTAATGACTGTTTGTGTTGCTGTAGGACATTCCCATCCCAACCCTGAAAGCGACTTTTGAGGCTATGAAGAGTAACACACACGTGTTAAGCCTCAGCATCGCTGGGACACGCAGTAATGACCCTGTGGCCTATGTAAGTCCTGAAGCCTGTGTTTTTGATGTTTCATTCATTCATTCATTGCTTCTTTGCTTCAATCTCATATGTTTCTACATACAAGTCCGAAGATATATTTGCTAAATGTGTAGACGTTTGTCTTGATCAAATAAAATCTAAAATCTTATCCTATGTAAAGTTTAGTAAATGCTGTACATTATAGTAAAACTATATATTTTATAGACCATGGAGCTTCTTTTTGTTAGATTTTATCTAAACTTTCTGTTTAGTTATGTATACTAAAGTTCATAAGTTTTGAGTCAGATTTAAAAAAAAGAAAAGAAAATTTATACATTTTTTTCAGCCAGGATGCTTTAAATTGATCAAAAGTGACAAGAAAAGATTTCTGTTTCAAATAAATGCTGTTTTTTTTTTTTTACTTTATCTTCATCAAAGAATCTGGACAAAACACACTGTGCAAATCCGCCTGTTAGAAGGATCATGTGACACTGGAGTAATGTTTGTAATGGCTGCTAATATATATATATATATATATTACTGTATTTTTGAATGATGCAGTCTTGGTGAGCATAAGAGAAATCTTACCAACCCCAAACTTTTGACTAATCAATAGTTATTCTTAATATTCTTCATAAAATCATTATTCAACTCTGTTTTCCTCTATTATGTATTGTGGAAATGATGGAGAGCTGATGTCAGTTGTTCCTCTTGCTCTGTTCCTGTGAGTCAGGCTATAGCTGAGATGTTACAGTCCAACACTACCCTGCAGAGCCTCAACATTGAGTCCAACTTCATTACTGCACAAGGCATGATGGCCATCGTCAAGGCACTGCGAGAAAACTCCACTCTGACTGAGATTAAGATCGACAACCAAGTAAGAGACTAAAACACTCCTGCTAGAAACATCTGATGGCATGTGTTTAAAACTAAAAATGAAATTGTTCATGTGTGTTCTCACAGAGACAGAAACTGGGCGACTCAGTTGAGATGGAGATTGCAACCATGTTGGAGAACAACCCCAGCATCATAAAAATTGGTTATCACTTCATTCAGCAGGGCCCACGTGCAAGGGCTGCAATGGCCATCACCAGAAACAATGATATCCGTGAGTGTATTCTCGTACTGTTTTCTCAAATATTGCAGCTTGTGCTTGTCTGTAGCTGAAACAGGTAAATTTTTTCATTCATTTTGGTGTTTGTTGCTACATTGAACTTGATATTTTTTGTATTTATCCCATCTCCAGTTCGTCAGCAGAGAGTAAGGTGAAAAGAGGATGGAGTTTAGTTCATTTAGGAGATCTCAAAGTTCTCCATGTGCACTCTTGGAGTCCTACAGACGCTCCAGTAACAGCCAGGACAACCCCTACAGATGACCCTGATATGCTTTTACCATTCGCCATCGGCCATTGTGGATATCATTATTGCCAGCTTGATAAGACTTCATTGCTTTCTGTGGATTTCATCAAATCAAAAGCTCTGATCTAATAAAATCGACCTGCCCCTTAATACCTGCAAACTTGAAAAAGACACCAGTTGCTCAGTTTATTTTCTGGTAATATGGTGCTCCCGCAAAGGTTTTTTGTAAATATTTGAAATAAAATACTACATTCTATATTGTCTAGTCAGACTTCAAAGTTTCATTAAATTACAATACCATCATTTAATACAGGTTTGTACTATCAAAACACTGACATACAGTACCATTTAAATGTTTTTTTAAGTAATTTTATTCAGCAAGGATGCATTATATTGATCAAAAACAACAGCAAATACATTTTTAAACATTGTTACAGAAAACTAATGTTGCAAATAAATTCTGTCCTTTTGAACATTCTGTTCATCAAATAGAAGAACGCATCACAGTTTCCACAAAATAGTAAGCAGTGCAAATGTTCAACCTTGATAAAAAGAAGAAAAGTTTTCTTAAAATCCAAATCTGCATATTAAAATGTTTACTGAAGGATCGAGTGACATTGAGTGATTACTGAAAATTCAGCTCTGCCATCAAAAAAACAAAACAAAAGCTTCACAATATTACCATTTTTACTGTATTTCTTAATCAAATAAATACAGCTTTGCTGAGGACTTCTTTCAGCAACTTTGAAAAAGTCTTACCGGCCTCGTATTTTTTAACAGTAGTGTAAATACTGTAATTTCAAAGCAGATGCTCTCAGCAGACTTACAGTACAAAACAGCTTCATTATCATTTGTAGATCTGGACTCTGTAACAGTTTAGGTTAGATTTAATTGATTCATTATTGAATTAATAGAGGACTGAGATAAAATAACGTATGATTCATGTCATAACTTTGATTATATGATGACCCAAACCCAGAGGAACAAAACAAATGGAACTATTCAATATCCCATGGCTGGGTTTCCTGCTCCCCTCCACTAACCTATTTTTACTTGCAAACCACCCAGTCATGAAACCCAGTCTCATGGGTTTGAGTTACAAAGCTCCAAATATACCACCTTCCTCGAGGAGATTTATGCTCCCCTTTGGAACAGATGATAACCTATGAAGATTCTCAAGAGTCACCTCTTAACTACCATTATTGCCGTTTTTAAAGACAAATATATACATAGAGCTTTTATTTTTTATTTTACAGATGTGACTTCAGGCGTATAAGTTAATATGGGGTTTTGATTTTGGTGGCTGTCTAAACTTTACAGGCCTGCTTCAGAATGTGAAAAACAAATGGCATTTGGCAAAGGATCTACAGAATGAAGCAGCCTTCCACATTCCGTTCTCTATTTGGAACAGATTTGGACCTCTTTCATCATACAACCAACATTCTGACATTAAAAGTAAAATGATAAAGATATTAGTGAAAATATTCCACGTGATTCAACACAATGAGGTCACAACCTCCTCACTTTATTCACATAGAAATATGACATTGTTAGTTCAGAAACTGTTTCAACAAGATGGCTAGTACATAGTACTAATACAATTTGCAAACTCTTTTCCAGAAAGAATGTCTTGAAGTTTCGACCTTATTGTATATAAAGTAGGTCACAGAGGCATGGACGTAAAAGATGTCATATGAGAGTTGTGCCTATCGAGACAATATCATCATCTCATATGCAGTTCAGTTTAAATGCATCCTGAAGCATTTTTGGCAGTTGCTGAACAGTATCGAGTCTGCTATGAAGATTCACTGCTAGGAGGTAACTGATCCGGTTCTTCTTCATCCGAGTCAAACTCAACATTCTCATCTTTAACCCATTTACCACTTCTGTCCTGCAGCCATCCCGAACTGGAACAGACAAGTGAGAAAAAAGGAGTAAAATAGATTGAGAGAGAATCTATGAGAAGCACACAGTTATTTAATGATTACTATATGGCTGCTGCAGATGAGATCTTTTCGTTTTAAATGAATAGTACACACCCTCAGGTCATCCAAGATATAGATGAGTTTGTTGTTCACCGAAAACAGATTTGGAGAAATTTAGCATTAGATCACTTGCTTACCAGTGGATGCTCTGCAGTGAATGGGTGCCATCAGAATAAGAGATTCTGAAGAAACAAATTCATCACTAAGGCGTTTTCAATTTAAACTAGTGCTGACAAATGATTAATCGCATCCAAAATGAAAGTTTTTGTTTACATAATATATGTATGTGTAATGTGTATATTTATTATGTATATAAAAATACACACACATACAGTATATATTTTGAAAATATTTACATGTATATACATTTATATATTTATATTCTTAAATATTATATATTATATATAAATATATTTAATATATAAACATTACATATTTTTCTTAAATATTTACATGGATGTGTTTGTATTTATATATATATATATACATAATAAATATACACAGTATAGTATATATTATGTAAACAAAAACTTTCATTTTGGATGCGATTAATCGCGATTAATCGTTTGACAGCACAAATTTAAACTACTGCTTCTGGCCACAATACGAGTCCATGATAAACAATAACACATCCACCAGTGAAAAAGTCTATCCACTGTTGTTCTCTCACATCAAAATCCATAGACATATAGTTTAAAACTGTTTCGGACTGTTTCCGCTTGTAAATGGTGCTTGATCTGTGCATATCTCTCTCTCGTTAAAGATGTCTTACTGATTAATTTGTTACTTACAAACGTACAGCTTTTCACTTCACAAGATGGAGTCGTGTGGATTACTTATGGATTATTGTGATGTTTTCTTATCAGCTGTTTGGACTCTCATTCTGACGGCACCCATTCACTGCAGGGTAACCATTTGTAAGCAAGTGATGTAATGCTGAATTTCTCCAAATCTCATCAACTTGGATGGCCTGAGAGGGCAAGTCATTTTCAGCAAATGCTCATTTTTGGGTGAACTATTCGTTTAATACCGATTTGGATGTTAGCATCAGTTCTATAGTCAGACTGTGAGATAAATGTGAGTCACTGTGTCAAGTGTTGTCATACCTTTTTAATTTGAGGTAGTGTTCCAGTTCTTTGCATCTCTGCTCTGTTATAGGCTCACACTTAGTGCTGGATCCCTTCTTCCCCTTCTTTGTCTCTTCTTTCCCTTGAGTCTGTCCCTGATGCACTACAAATGACAATTAACACAATGCACATGGAAGATTAAAAGAATATAAGCACAAAATGTCTACTGCCTTCAAATAAATAGATATTTGTTGTACCCGTTGTGCTACTTGTTGATATGGAGTCAATACTTCCTGTCCTAATGGACAAATGAGTTGATGAGTTGATATTGTTGATTTGATCTTGTCTGTCTTCTTGGCCACATCCTGACGATTCCAATCGTTCACTTTATGAATGTAGAAATAGATAAAATAAAAGTGCAAAAAATAAAAATAATTAATCAATGAAACTAAAAAGACACAAACAGCCTAGTGAGGACTTTATAAAAAAATTCAGACATGAGACAGTAGATGGTTCAGCTAACAGACATTACCTGGCCTTTCTGTGGCAGCTACTGTAAGGAGCAGTTCTGAGTAGGGCATGATGGGTAATTTTACGTGTTTGACTCAGAAGAGGAGCTGAACTGGAGGGTTCCTGGGAACAAGTGACAATGTAATTTTGTAATAATGTAATAAAAATAATATGACCTTATTATATATGTATGTACTGTGAGGTCTTAAAGTGTGAGAGCACACTAAAAATCTGATTTAAATCCTTGCAATATAAAATTAGAAAATATTAAAATAAAGAAATATTATGATTATGTAAGAGATGTAATTATGATGTAAAATGAAGAAGAAATATTTAAGATGCTGCACTTTTTTGGTCAAATAATTTACAATTTAAAGATAATTCGAAATTTTCACTTTCATTGTTATATAAATAATAATATGATATGTTGATAAAATGGTGTAATGAAAAAAGTTAGATGGACTTTTGAATTTTACTGATTAATAAACTGGTTGAAGAAAATTAATCCAGTTACCTGTCGCTCATCTTCTGCTTTAACATAATCTTGATGTCGCCTTTTATCTATTTCATGTTTAAGCTGATTCTTTGTGCCGTAGAACCATTTCATTCCTACAAATTAATAGACCAAAGAGGACTTAAAAACTGAATGCTGGTTTATAGAGATGCTGAGTAAATGCATAGGTAGAATCTCACCTTCAAGGTGTCGCTTTCCCTTCCTGTGCACCATGAGCATATCAACAGTGTCAAACACAGGACGGTGAGAACACACAAGGCAGCTGTATCTACAGTGGGGGATAACACATTCCTTAGTGAATGGGAATGGGTCAGACACTGACTTCATCTGCAATCCAAACAACCAGGAATTAAATAATCACCTTCCGTTTTTCATCAGAGTAGCTTCATCATCTGGGATGAAGTTAGACAAAAGATCTGCAACGCGTCGTTTCTTGTAAGAGAACGAGAGAAAAACAGTGAGAAAAGGGAAAAGGGACTGGTGCATGTGTACAAATAACACAGTCTGCTTGCTGTTTCATTATACCTTCAGTACATTTAGCTGACTTTGATCATCACCCTCCCTTTTGAAAGACATGTTTGGCCGCCTGCAGTCTTATTCTTTCAGGTATTAACGCAACTAATTTCTTATTTCACTCTCACCGATTAGCAGCTTACTAAAGACATCCCTTTCTTCCTGTTTTGGTCTCTGGAATTATGGGTAGTGATGTCTGATTCATGAACGAATCGAGTCTGACGATCGGACTGATCCATTTAAAGCTAAACCACTCTTTTTATCTCTCTTTTTTGTTGTTGTAATTTTCGTCTTGAAATAAGCTTTATTCGTGTTCAAGGCATGTAAACCCCGCAGAAAACACATAATGACGTAAAAGAACTGATGAATAATTTTTAACCAATTCATTGTCCGAACGAATCGATTCTGAAATGAGTCGGACATGGGCGGATCTTACATTAACTTAGCTGACACCATGGCAACAGAGGCTAAGCTAATCTTGGTCTTGGGACAAATAAGTTTTAAGACTGTCTGAACTTAAAATGTAAAGGGCACCGGTAATATTTCTCCACTATTTATATGGTTGATATATTATTTCATA